GTACAATGCTTATCACAATCATCCATCCATCCATCCATCAAGCACATCTGTACAACTTGTGATGTTCTTAATGTCCTTCCACAGCTCATCAGGTCTGCTGTCATTAGTGTTCAATGCATCAAATCTGTTTTTGAAATGTTCTCAAAATTCAGGTGGCATATACTTAAGGTTGTATTTTGGCTCCCATGGTCATGTTTTAATTTTCTTCAGCTTGAACCTGAACTTACATATGAGCAATTGATGCTGTGTTCCACAGTCAGCCCCTGGCCTAGTTTTAGCTGTTAATATTGTTTTTCTGTTGTCTTTTCCCCAAACTGTAGTCAATTTGATTTATGTGTATTCCGTCTAGAGAAGTCTATCTGTGTAGTCACTGTTTATGTCATTGAAAAATGGTATTTGCTATGAAGAAGTGCTTGGACTTGCAAAATTCTATCATGCTATCTCCAGCTTTATGTCTATCACAAAGATCATATTTTCCAATTACTGTTCCTTCCTCTGTTTCCAACTTTTGCATTCCAATCGCTAATAATTATTAATCCATCTTGACTTCACGTTAGATCAATTTCCAACTGAAGACATTGGTAGAATTCAATTTTTTCACCACTAGCTTTTGTGGTTGGTACATAGATTTGAACAATAGTTGTATTGACTGGATTTCCTTGAAGGCAGATACCCATAATTCTATCCAAGTTGTTATTGTTGCTAGGTGCCAATGAGTTAGTTCCAACTCATAGCAACCTTATATACAACAGAATGAAACACTTCCTGGTCTTCTGTGCCATCTTCACAATTGTTCCTATGCTTGAGCCCATTGCGGTAGCCACTGTGTCATTCCATGTCCTGGACGGCCCTCCTGGTTTTGCTGCTTCTCTACTTACCAATCACAATGTCCTTCTTCAGGGAATGTTCAATGTATGTAAGATGAAGTCTTATCATCCTTGCCTCGAAGGCGCATGCTGGCTGTACTTCTTTCAAGTCAGAATGGTTTGTTCTTTTAGTAGTCCATGGTACTTTCAACACTCTTCTCCAGCACCACAATTCTTCAGTATACTTCAAAATAGAGCTTGAAACATCCTTTTTGACTATGAATGCAACACTATTCCTCGTTTCATTCCCAATATAATATACCATATAATTTTCAGATTCAAAATGGCCAAGACCAGTCCATTTCTGCTCATTAAAGCCTACAATATCAATCTCTATGTGTTCCATTTAATTTTTAATGTCTTCCAATTTTACTAGATTTATACTTCGCACATTCCAAGTTCCAATTATATTTGCTGCTGTTTCTTCTTGGAGTTGTGCCCCATCTGCAAATGAAGAACCCAAAGGCTTCACTCCCACATGCTTTACTCCATTCTGTCACCACGTTCAACTCTACTGAAAGAATGCAGCTCCTCCTCAGTTATACTTTGAGTGCCTTCAGACTTGAAAGGGCCTCTTTAGCTTCCAGCACTGCCTCCAACAATGTTCTCCTTCCATTCAATAGGCCTAAGTATCTGACAGTGTTTCAAAGCTAGGCATGACATTTTCAGCAGCTACTTCCTCCAAAGTGGGCAGTCGAGTCCTTTTTCATAGTCCGTTCTTCGTCTGGAAGTTCCCTGAAACTTACTCACTTTGGGTGACCCTGCTGAAATACCAGTGGCAGCTTCCCAAATTACAGCAACGCACAAGCCACCACAGTATGAATAACAGACAAGTGGTAGAGAGAGGAAAGGGTTACAGAGGTGGTAGCCCTGCCTCTGGAAGTAGAGAAACAGAAAGTTCACATTTTGAGATTTTTCTTTAATAAAGGCTTTTTAATGATTTTATTTATTTTTTACTGGCCTTAAACGGGAAGAATTGAGGGAGGCATGGAGAGTTGCCTCCTTTTTCTATTTTTAGTTTCAGTTCCCAAAGTCAAGGAAAAGCATGAAACAAACAGAAACCAAATGGTGTATTTTACATATTATCTATGTTCTGAAACATTTATTTTTCAAGTCTATTTGAATTTAACTCCTAGTGAAAAAATAAATGTAAAATCACATCACAACCGAACATATACCTTCCACCTCATGCCCTTAAACTGAAACAAGTTTCACAAAACAATCTTTGCTCTTATGTTCTACTTTATGCTATCTTATTCCATTAAAAAGTAAAATTGATTTTTGAGTCACATTCTGAAAGGCATTACTCTTGAAAATGGAATATAGGTTTCAAGGTGTTGGCAACTTCAAAGTTACTGTAGCTGTTATAGTTGCCCTTCAGTTGATTCCAAGTTACTAGTTTTGTTGAAATACTGCCATTCAGAGAATAACTTCTGTGTTAGACAGGGTTCTCTAGAGAGATAAAACCAAATTGCTGATAATTTAATATATTTATTTATAAAGATAATTAGATATATAACAAGAAATGAACTGTTAAATCATATACAGATAAAGATATAATACAAGAAAGAAACAGTTAAATTTTAAATCACTACAAATGGCTCAATTCAACTCACTCTGGTGAGAGACTTGTGAGAGACTAGCAGTCCTTCAAGTCCTTCAAGTCCTGTGTGCTGCCAGATCTTCCTCTATTTATAGAGAGAGCTGGGCTATGTCAGCACAGCAGCCAATCAGAAGGCAGGTCACCAACTGCCAGTCCCCAGCTCCAGCGATCTCTTAAAGGGACTCAACTTACAGCGACACAGTCCACAGGCTAGGCATCCCACAGGTAGTGTAGCCTTTAAATTGAGGCACAGGACAAGCAAGGCAGCCACACACTGGTCCGATGATCAAAGAACAAGAGACAAGAAAGGTGAGACTCACCAAGCCATTTATCTCTCTGCCCTTCAGTTAATCCCACTTGTGTTTATCGGCCAGGCTGGCACAATAAACTATCTCAACTTCCTTCATGTTGTATAAACTACAAGCACATTTCCTCAGACTTCAAAATAGAGTCTGGTATGATCTTTTCCATGTTAGAATATCAGTCAGTTCATTACCATATCTCATAGATTCTAAGACTCCCTGTTTTTCAAGTTTTGTTATCTCTCAATTCCAGGAGCATTTTTCGAAAACAACAGCATGAGAGTTTATTAATAGTGTTGCTTCCACCCCCCCCCCATTGGGAAACATAAAATAATGGCATGTCTAAAAGAGCCTGAATTCTTAAGCACTTATAAAAGAGTTGGACATGGAATAAAGAAAAGTGAAGAAGAATCAATGCATTTGAATTATGGTTCTGGTAAAAAATATTGAAAGTACTGTAGACTACCTACAGCACAAACAAATTTATCTGAGAGGAAGTACAGCCAGAGTGAGTGTTTCTTGGAGGCAAGGATGTCAAGCTATGTCTCCTGTACTTTGGACATGTTATCCAGAGAGACTGGTCCCTGGAGAAGGAAATCGTGTTTGGTAGAGGGGCTGCAGAAAAGAGGAATATCCTCACCAGATGGACTGACACTGTGGCTGCAACAAAGGGTTCACACATAAGGATAATTTCGAGGATAGCACAGGCCAAGGCCATGTTTCATTCTGCTGTACAGAGGATTGCTACAAGTTGGAACTGACTCAGTGGCACCTAGCAACAAACAATTATAAAATATATTAATAAGTATTATATAGGTCAGACTCAGTTCTTCATCTCAAACTATCTAACTGATCAGCGTATCTTCTGATATCAAGAAAATATTAAGAGGAGATGACTTCCTTAAGAAAATATTCTTTGGTCAGGGCAAGAAGGGAAATTATATACATAGTACAGAAAGAGATATTACAGAAAGTCACTTCATTTGCTGACATTATTTATACCAGACCAAACCCTCTCCCAGCAAGATTCCCATAAGATTTTATAATGATCTTTTGGCTTCTATAGCTCCTGTCTATCCGGTAGTGTTTCAAGTCACCTATTTTCATTTGGTAACTTGAATTCCACTCTTTTACTCTCCTCAACAGAGTTGGAGGTAGGACGCAGAAAGTATTTTTGGAATCATGATTAAAAAGGACGGTAAATGGGTTAAGTCCAAAAATTGAGGTACTTGATAAAATAATTCGGCTTTATTAGAAAAATGGAGCAAGTGCCAAATTTCTGTGCCTATTTTTAGACTACCAGAAACGTCACACACTATAAAACTTAAATAGTGCACAACTGGCACGAAGGATTCCTGAACATAACTAAAACCAAAAATAAAATTATAGGCTATTTTCATCCTGATGTGACTGAAACGCACTATCCTTCCCTCAAAATAAATAAGGCAAAACATAAAAAAGTCGAAATGCCACAATCAACGTGCTACTAGAAATGGGAACAAGCAGTTACTGAACTCTTTTCAAGCTAGATATCACGCACAAGATGCCTGCTTTTCTTCTTTGTTGGGCTAAAGAAAGCCTTCGCCAAATCGAGGTTGGGCAGGCATGTCTGACTCTGGCTCAGAGTGGGCGTGGGGTCCCCAAGGAGCCCTGAGCCCTGACCCCAGAGTTAATTATGCAACCTCAGATTCGGAAGAGCGCGCGAGAGGATAGGTCCACAAGGCCTTGTCCTCGCAGATCAGCACGCCGGGGCCAGATACCGATGGACTGGCCTCCCGAGGTCGCCCCGGGGGCTGCGGAGGCGGCTCCCAGGCGATAACACTCCGGGCGAGGTGTTGACAGTCGCTCCCGCGCTACTCGCGCTCGGCCCGCGGGGGAGTAGGCTTCGTGGCCGCCTCCGCCCTTCACCACGTGACGGGAAGAGGGTGTGACCCGCGGGTCGGGGGCGGGGCTTCGAGGGGGCGGGCCCTAGAATGTGAAGGATCGTGGCGGCTTGGGCTGTCCTGAGAGGCAGCGACGCCGCCGATGACAGCATTAGGCCGCGACGCACTACCTGCCGGGCGCTGGTGGTAGCGGCTGCCGGAGAGGCTGCCGCGTTAGCCTCGGCCACGGCTGCAGCCGCCGCTGGGGGCAGGCGAACCGAGGGACGGACGGACGGAGGGAGGGCCCGCCTTGGGTTGTGTACTGTAGGGCCGGCGTTCCCGCCCACCTCGCGGGCCGAGTCGGCAGCGCTGCCGCTGCGGCGAGACAGCGCCCTCAGCCTCCGCTCGCGCCGCTCGGCGACTGCGGCCGGGAGAAGTTGGGGTACAGCCGGACGCACGCAGGGCCTCAGGCCCCAGCCCCGAAAGAAGTAGCCCTCTGCGCCCCGCCTCCTCGGGGACTCGCACCGGTGAGTGTCACGCTAGTGCCCGAGTCAGGGGCGAGGCGTCCGCACCCCACCCCGTAGTGACTCCCCTTCTCTCCCCGTTGGCGCTCGGGCCGGAGAGGAGTCCGGACAGCCCGCGCTGCAGAGTTCCCTTGGGGCTCCTTTGTCCCCTTTTGGAGTGAGGGGGCCGTTCGACAGGCTCGCGGGGCCCCACCGGGGGAGCGGGGTGTCTCGCACGTTTGGACCGGGGCGCTGTTCGAGGTGGGCGGCCGCTCGAAGTTGGACCGGGCGGGCGGCGGGGTGTCGCCGGAAGCCCCCGCGCCGGGGGAGCCGGCGCTCGGTCGCGGTGCGGTGCAGGCGAGGCTCGCGTTTCTTTCCCGTGACAGCCCCGCCGCGGGCCGGGCCGCGCGCCGCAGACCGCGCCCGCCTGGTGGGGGTCCTCCTCGAGCCCTCCGTTTCCCTGGCGAACGTGCAGCAAAGGCGAAGCCTCTGCTGCACGTTTGCCTGGAACGCTTGTTTGCAAGCCCTAGCTCTGCCCAGAGCGGCATCTGACGCCCAGGAGCTCTCACCAGGAGCGGGCTGTCGGTTCCTTGATTCACCGGCTGAGGCGATGCAACAGTATCTGTAGGTTTTCCATTCACAAAAGTCACTGAACACTCTGTTTCGTGAGAGTGAGCGGGCTTGCGGAACATTCATTACCTAATTTCATTTGCTCTGCATGCCATCGGACATAATTAAGTAACTTGGGCTTCCCCTTAAACAGAAGTGAACAGCTTATTTAATGGACGATTTAAGTATGTTTGCTTTAATAAATAATTTAATGAAGTTTTTGCCTTTTTGCTCCTGGAGCACTGTATTAGAGTGCCCTCAGTGGAAGTTTGACGTTTTTATTGACTTCACCCAGACGACATCAAATCAGTGCTACAAGGGGCCTTGGTAGCGGAGAGAGTAAAGGCCGGCAGTTCGAACCCACCAGCTACTGAGTGGATGGGCTACAGAGTTGCATTCTGCTTCTGTAAAGGTTTATAGCTCTGGAAACCTTATGGAGTAGTTCAAGTCTGTTCTGCAGGGTCGCTATGAGTCGGAATCAACTTGAAGCAGTGAGTTTTTGGTAGGTCTTTTCAAACAATCATTTAAAATAGTTTTTTCCTTTCCTAGGAATCCAGGGGACAGCATAAATTATGGAAGCTTGTAGAAAAATTGCTTGTTGTTTACACATGTCATTTGGTTTAATGTAAACTTGATAATGCTGAGCGACTATTATCAATTTCTCTGCTTGCTAGAACCTGTTTTGCAGTGAGATTATCAGGGTGCTTGTTTTCTAGAACAGGCTGGGGAAGGAGGAATAACGTCATGCAATTTTAAATGTTCTTTATTTAAAAGTACAACTATTTAAACTATTTGCTACCTATTTTTCTGATAGCAATTATGTACTAAATGCCTATGATATGCTTGTTCTAGGTGCTGGGAACGAGAATAGATGAAACGTAAGAACTACCTTTTAGGTCTTTAATTATGGAGATTAAGTTGTTGTGGTCAAATTCCATGTGAACAGTTTGATCCACAATGCATTGTACCCAGGTGTTTAGACATATCTGTTTAATTTAAAATAGTCATGGTTTATTTTGTTTTCATTGAATCGTAATACTTATTGTATCTCTAATCGGTGGAAAGCTGCTATATTTTAAAATTAGAATGGTATTGCATTTTAGAAGAGATCAAATGTCTTTCTTACAACACAGCTATGACACTTAGAAGTTTCATATTTAATTATTTGGGTCATTTTTAAATTGAGGACCATAAAATAGACTATAAATGTATGTGATGAAAATATGTTTTAGTTTGCTTTCATTTAAGAAAAACTGAGGAAATTATGCATTTACAAAATCTGCATTGCAAAAGGATCTTTTGAAGGATGAAGAACAGTATGTCTTAAATAAATGCTTCTTAATACATACGAATTTGGTTTGGTTTATGCAAGTTTACAATCTTTCCAGAGCAGATTGTTTGAATTGAGGCATAAAGGACAAAAAAAATAATGAATACAGATAGAATTTTCTAACATTATTTTGGAAAATTTGATCTTAATAGCAACCTGAAATACTTGATATTAATATTTATATTTTAGTATTCATAGTTGAAAACATGCATAGAAGTGATCTTGGCGCATTAGATGATTCTAAAGTAGCACACTGTGGTTTCTCTTACACTTGTGAATAAGACATAAACAGAACTTGAACAAAAAAGCCTGTGAGGAATATACTTCACTTAAAGAAGTTGGCTAGTGTGCAAGGGGCTTAATGGAAGCACTTGATTGGGCTGAAATACAGTTCCCTTGTGGATGGGACACACAAAGAGATGTCAGGACTAAGGTGTGTGCAAATTTCCTGGCAGTATTCAGGGAATCATCCCTGAAAAGTTTTTATCTTCTCCCGCTTTCTCCTCATTAGTCTCACATGCACGTGAGCACACGGAAGTGTTGAAAGTTTCAACTGTATGGCACAATAGAGATGTTTCCCTCTGCTAAGTGTTACCACATTTGAAGAAAGAGCTTCCGAGACCTTGTAGGAAAGTTTTTGGTTGTTCTGGAACAGCATGTCTACCTTTGTTAACAAATTTCCAGGCAATATTAAATTCTTCAAGACAGTATCTTCTCTGTTTAACTCACCCATTGAGTCCCCAAATGCTTAATATGTCTTTTTTTTTGCTTAATATTTCTTGAATGAAAAAATGTTGTTCTACATACATAACTGGAGAACAAAGGGAAGTATGTGATAATGTAGTCCAAATTAAACATAAGCCCCACACTGCAAAAGCAAGTTCACTTCCATGTAGTGAATTCTGACTCATAGGACAGGGTAGAACTGCCCCTAAGGGTTTCTGAGACTGTAAATTTTTATGGGAGTAGAAGACCTCATCTCTCTTCTGGGGAGTGGCTGGTAGTTTTTCCCTGATAACCTTGCAGTTAGCAGCATAACGTATTACCTACATCACCAAGAAAGGATGTCGTCTTGGGAGGTGGGGAGCAAGTCATTCAGTGGGGAAAATGTTCTTGGAGGAGTTAGTTCTTCAGTTAGCTTTTGCTGAAAGCTGTGTATCTGCAGATAAATGGGTTTCCTAAGGCAGGAGACAACGTGAACCAAAGGAAAGTGGGACTGAGTGTGTCATATTAGGTTAAGCACAGTGAGTCTTTTGTGTAAAATTATGAAGATTTTTTTTCCCTTTTCTTTCACAACTGTTGCTTCTACTTGGATAAAATGTCTGAAATAATTTATAAGAGCTAACTATTTACAGTACTTGAGTTTTGAAAGTGACTGGGGTACAGTAAAAGCAAAGAGCCTTAAAAGGTTTAAAATTTCAAATTAGAATTTTGACTCTGCTTCTTATACACGTTGGGCAAATCTCTGGGTCTTTGCTTCCTCATTTGTAAAATAGGGGGAGTAATCACTACATGCCCCATGACTCTTGGAAAAATTGAATGACTTGATGTGTATCTGGGTAAGTGTTGGACAGCTAACCACAAGGTCAGCAGTTCAAATTTATGAGCCATTCCTGGGGAGAAAGATGAATCTGTCTGTTCCTACAAAGATAGACACCCTTGAAATCCCTACACAGGGTGGCTATAAATTAGAATTGACTAGGTGTCTTTGGGCTGCTAAAAGTATATTTGAAACGATTCACCTCACTCTCTAACACATAGTAGAACTTAAGAAAGTATTAAATTATTTAAAATACTTCTTTATATCTAGCTCTTAAAATTTTTTTAGATTCATTTATTATGAACTCTGATCTTCATTTGACTATTGGGATGACCCATAACATTAAATTTGTCAGTATCAAGGTTAGTGATTTTTTTCCCCCCAGGAAAACTTAATTTTAAAAAATAGAAACAAGGATTAATTATATTACTTTGAAATGTATTGACCACAAAGGATACTAGATACCTCGAAGTTTTAAATTTTAAGTAAGGGCTATGTATGGCTGTTAGGTTTCTGTTCTCCATCGAATCGATGAAAAAAATAATTTTATTAGAGGTTCATACAACTTTT